ATTCAGTTGAGTAAACAAAAGACAGGTTTTTTGGCAGATTCTAAGGGGCTAGTAATAAACAGGAGAGTCTTAAATTCTTGCCCTTGTACTTGTGATTCCTTGATGATGTTACAAGTACCCTCTAATGAAACAGGTTTCTGACTTCATGGAATTTGCGAGTGAAAGCGTAGCAGGATTCCTTCTGCAGGGGCATTTCGGTTTTTATTAAAAACAGTTAGAAGTTAGTCCAGCTGTTCACTTTCATAATCAGGACATATCCAGAAAAGATGTTCTTTGTTTCACATATGTAGTAACCTCAGTACTGACTAATGCTTCTGTGTCGCATTCTTGTGTTAGAAAGTACGATATCTTAAATACTCACATGCAGATTTTCAACAAACTGAAAGTCGTTCAGAGCACATAGCGGGTCTCTGACCTGCCAGATCTGTCCATGACTGTTGTTATAAGATCATGGCAAATCAATCAGAGCCAGTGGAGGAGCAAATAGAAAATGTTATTGAGTTTCGAAAAGGCTTGACCTTTCAATGTAATGTTTTTCAAAGACGAGTAGAGAACCTACGCCTGGACCCTTGATGCCTCTAATCAGATACAGGACAAGAAGAGAACTGACTGATTCTTGTTTTGTGTGTGTGTGTGTGCACACAAGTCCATGTGGAAGTGTCATCCATACACACCCTTGTGGGTAATTATGCAGGTACTGTATATGTACAGTATGTGCAAATGTGTTTCTGTGTTCTTTCTGTATAGACATGTGTGTCTGTGTACGTGTGTATCTGCATGTGTGTCTGTGTGTGTGCATGTCTGCATATGGTGTTTCTCCATGTGCAAGTTGCAAATGTGTGCCTGTACAGTATGTGCAAGTATGTGCGTGTATGTTTGTGTGTGTGTTTCTGTGTATGTATGCGAGTCTGAGTGTGTCTTGTATATGTGTGTCTGTATACTGAATATGTATGTGTGCATGATTTTGTGTATGTGTGTGCTTGTGTATGTGTGTTTCTGTGTGCGTTTATGTGTCTGTGTGTGTTTGTGTGCTCAAAGGTCAGGTGGATAAACCTACAATATTCTGAAGAAGTGCTGAGATATTTTTAGGTTTGTGATATTATCAGCAGGATTTAAAAAATAACTGGTAAGCTGCAAGAAATAAATTGTGAACATAATTTTATTTTTATTCCAAAAGGTATAAAATACAATATAAAAAAAGAAAATGGTCCTTTTTCCACTACGCACAAAACTTGATTTTTGTGAACATTATTTTTTATTTTCCCAAACAAATAGAACACAATAGAAAAATAAAATGAGCAGAAAATGATGATAACTGGCTTCCTCAATATGCACAGTGGTGAGTAAACCCATGTCATGAAAAGATGCAACAGACATGTTTATCTGTTGTGTCTTCTACGCATATGGACTTTATTATAATAATACAAAGCAGGAATGACCTTGGTAACCATGGCAACTTGGGAGAGTTTTTGCTTATAAGGATCCATTCCAGACTAATTTGATTGGAAACTTTTAATAAACAGTAAATCCTATGGAATAGTTTTAATTGCATTTGATGTGAAGTCAATCTGAGTATTCAGGGCATATAAATAGGCAAACTGAAATAGTTTGTTTTCCCCTGGCTGATGAACTATGTTGTGTCACTTAATCACAGCTTTTTTAAAATTCATTAGGTGGTGTTGGACATGAAAACTGCTCAGCCGCAAGGGAAAGTAACCGTGCAGTGACCCTGTTGAAGTCATTAACAGAGACAGGAGGGTAAATAGCTGATGGCAGCTACAGTACCTGCAGTCATGGGAGAGATATCTGTATCCTCATTGAAACTCCAAAGTAAATGTTTTGTTTGTTTTACACTTAAAAGCAAAGAAAGAGAGATATTTCTGGTCCTGTCACTTTTAATCAATTCTTCACTTTCACATAAAAAACAATAGATCGGTTAGATAAACCAATTTTCTCCCTATTCCTTCTGTAACCTTCAGATTTAAGCAGTAATTTTTCAGTGCTGTTCTTCCTTTTGAGATTAGGTAGTATTCACGGAAGGCTCCAAAGCTTCAAGTCCGACAATAATGACAGGTATTTGATCAATCTGAAAGAAAAGGATAAGAGGTATAAGGGAGCTGAGAGTTGTTGACTGGCCAGGCTTTTATATTGGTTATTGTTGAGGCATTACTGCTGTGTGCACTCAGCTATGCAGTGAGCTGAACTATTAATAACAGTACTGAGATCAAATCGATAAGTCCATATCAAATTATTAAATTGAATTGCCATGTTGAAAATGTAAATTCTGCTACAGTCTTGAATGTATCTAGTTCTGAAGAGTATTTATCAGCATTGTACAGCTGTGTCTTTTGTAAAATTAACAATTAAAATCTAAAGGATCGCATATTGGAAGATGTATCTTAAGAAGCAGGCATTTGTATCATGTGCATTAAGTCTCAAAAGAAATCTTGAATAGAGCTGTTGAATTTCATTATTATTTTCAGATCCAAAGCTGGTTCAGCTCTCTTTATACCCTTTTAACCTGTAATTAATGTTGTTGCCAGTTAATTTCAGGCATAGCTCTTTTTTCAGAACTGCTTATAAGCGGCCTGGTCAGCCTGTTCTGAACCCTTTTGATTGACAGCAGCTTATTTCACAGTGTGTTGTTTGAGTGTACATTTTATTGCAGAAAATGTGTTCATTTACACAGCTAAAAGTAAGCTAAAAATAATGCTACATCAAGTAAATATTTAAACCTTAATTGATTAAGATGTCAAAATGGCTGATTTATCTTTCAGGGAATGCAAAATATTACTGATATTGTAGCAAATTATCTCTGCAGCACCCCAAACCTGATATTTAATGTAAACCTAACTTACAGGGAAAAAAATGCATTCAAATATTGTATGCCTCTTAAGAGCCATGCATGGCCATTGCACTAATTATTTATGTGAAGGACTGTCATTTTATATATGCCAATGCCAATCAGATCTGTTGCATCATTAAACGAATTTTGCTTTCTCAACAACACATTGACTGTTTTTATTGTCCTTTGACCAAGAATTTATTTATTTTAGTGTGATGCAATATACGAATGGCGTGTTTCTGTTCAAATTGAATAAAACCATTGCGAAAAAATAACAAGCAAGCATGTTTTACATTTTACCACCTCTTAATATTAATGCCAACTTAGTATTCCATCCATTCTCAGTTTCTGCTATTATTTTCCAAACAGTTGATGCTTTCAAAAGCATATTACTACATATGGTGAAATATGGGAAAATACCTATGCAAATAGTCATAGTCCATAGTCATTTACGCTGTGCTCTCCATGAAGTTCCTTTCATTGAGCCACAAAAACAGAGATGACCCTTCTTAGTCCACAGCCTTGAACAAGTGTTAGTTCCTGATTATGTCTTTTTAGCAAGGTTTAAGTACTGTGGTCCTCTCTCCTTTTACTATTGTGTTGCAGAGACCAGCTGGCCAAATTGGATATGCCACACCCCAAAATCCTCCCACAGTTCCCACCCACGGACTCCATCTGGGCTAAGGCACAGGTCCGCTTTGATCACATTGGAGCGGAACCCTACATCTGTTCTTACTAAGTCAGACCCTGAAACAACAAATTCCATTGTTGACTTTCTCAGTGTGAGATACTGTACTGGAGCTCAACGCAGCCTACCCTAAAGCACTTCTGTTGTAAATCATTTTTAACAGTGGAAACCACCAGTAGACCTCTATGTGCTTTTCACTTGGCATCTTCTCTGCTTTAGCCAATTAAACAACTCCTGTTGTGTGACTTATTAATTCTCCAAAAGCCTAAATTTATATCTACATTGTCTCCTTTAAATCTAGAAATGTGTCTTTCAGATTTAAATTAGTTAACAAAGCTGTGTGTTTTTCTGAAGAATAATAACATTGTCTCCTTCAATCCAGAAATAAGCAAAAATGTTAAAAACCAGTAGAACGCCAAGGATTTGCACTTGCAATGGGGACACATGTAAACTCATCACTTTATACACATACAACTTAACATAAACAGGTTTCTCTTCACACCATTTGTTCTATGTATAGGTCTGAGATTTAATTTCCATTCAAACATGGAACATTTGTCTTTAATCAAAGCTTGTCTGTTTTGAGCTTATCAGCAGTCAGTTTCTGAAAAAAGATCTCTGCACTTTTGCACAAGTTTTATTAGACATGCATGGACTGCAGCTATCGTAAGTGATTATTGTTTTGGACAAAAAGACTTTCAGGCACATTGCCGTAAAAAGACCTGTGATGCTTAGATTGTGTTTTCCTAATAGCACCGTGATAAAAGAGGTTCGGAGCAGTAAATGGTGAAATTCATTAAGCGTAAGGAAAACACTAACCTTCTTTAACATTCTGGATAACATCCCAAGCTTGCAGATAACAAAAAAAAAGTTATCTCTGTGCTTTGACAGGTTGTCCATACTTTAGGCAGCACTTGTGTGTTCATTTTTCACCCTGAATACTAATAATGGCTTGATGCCATACATCTGAAAAGCACAATACAAAGTACAGCTGTAGAGATAATGCAGGCTCCCCTTAGGGCCAGGCTGAGCAAATTAGGTGTCAATGGGGTGCCTACGCAGACAGCGCTCGCTCTAATTAGTCTCCTGAGCCTAGTTGGTGGCGGGTTTAACATGAGCTAATCAATGGGCCTAAGTCTGCTGATGTGTGCGAGAACCTCCTCAGCTGGGGTTCTTCCCCACAGGTCGCTCACCTGCTCAGCGGGAGCCCTCATTTTCATTTTTTATCCCCGTCCGTCTCGTGACGCAGTCAGGCGCTTGCGGAAGAAAAAAATCGAAGCCGAAACATGTTGAGTTGAAAAGCCGCGTAGGGTGGAATGAAGATCATTTAATGGTCAAATTAATTATTCCCCGCCTCACACACGCACACACACACACTCTCTCACTGCACTGGAAGACACAACAGGTCTTGAATGCAGTAGCTTTAATTAACAGGACAGTGTGTGAATGAAATTAATTATTTGAATTAAAGCACAGTTAATTAAAAAAAAAGTTAGGAGGCTGAAATTGGTCTGACTGTTTTGCCGTTTTTTCTTCTCCAACACAAACTGTCGGAAGTGTAGATCCAGTGGCGGGCTTTGTCAAAGATGAAATCCTCCCGCTACTGAATGTGTTGTGTAACAAGCGCCTTTTTTAGATTTTTGGCTTGTTGAGTCACACATCCATTGGGAGTTGATTACCAAGGCTAGGATTGGGAGGTTTTCCTCAAGTCAGAGAGCGCTGCAGAGAGAAATACATTATTCAGTAGTGCGGTCACCTCAGGAAAAAAAATTAATTAGCAAATGATAGGCCAGCTTGAACCAGGATGTGTGTTGGAGTGTGTGTTGGATTTGCTGCCAAATGCAGCTTTTTATTCACAATACAGCCTTCATTTACGTACGTCTGACATTTATACTGTACAGTATGTTTCTGACACATCTTGATCATTGCAGGTGTAAGATATGACAATTTGGAACCTTTTAATTTGGTTTAGTGTAAGAAAGGCAAAATAGATCTGTCTTGAGCACAGCCTGGGTGATTGAAATGCCAGCACAGTGTGTGTGTGACACAGCATATTCTGTACGGAAATAATGCGGTTGTTATTTACTTCAGAGATGCAGAGCTCTCGTCCTTGAGGGAAGCAATGTCTTTGGATTTGTATTCCAGCTGAACTCTTTACTACATAATTGAGCTAATTGGTGGTTTAAATGGACCAAGTTAACACTTTTTGAAAGTCTTCAGCTGCTGATGACTTACAGAAGCCAATAAAATGTACTGGACTCTGGCTGCTGAGAAAATGATTTGTTAACCTATAGGTAATATCCACACTGGCCTTAAGGCAACCAATATGGATGGGGGGAATTAAATAATAAAATAAAAACTTTCATTGTTATTTAACAAACTGCTGTTTACCATTTTTTATGATTTTTTATACATTGTGCATATTTCTTTATTAAGAAATTATGCTAAACTTATATGCAACTATCTGACACATTTTCATGGGTTTTCAAAAGTTTTAATCATCAGACTTTTTCAAAAGTTATTCTTTTTTTTATTAATTAACAGTTATACAGTATAATCAAATCTGAAGCACTGTGTTGGTTTAATGACCAACACTAGTGTGCCAATGATAATAAAAAATGATGGTGTGCCTGAGAGCAACAGTTAAAGCTGAAATGTAATTCACAGACCCAGGAATACCAACAGCAACACAAGGAGGTGGTGTACAAAACTGGACATTTTCTTTGTTTAACCTGATGTGTGTCTGAATCTTTGCTAGTATCTTTATAGGACAGCTATAATTAGCCTTGATATAACTTTGCAGGAGTATCTTGAATCTCCTACAGAAGGAAGCCATAGTGACAGTGAAGAATGCAACTTTACTGGATGTGTAATATTCCAAAGAGACAAAAAAAGCAGAAGAGTGGAAGAGCAGCACTCACAGTCCAAGAATCTGTATGGAGTGACTTTTGGAAAAAGTACTTTTGAACTTTAATAATATCGGGAATGTATGTATGAAGAAAGAAGCGGTTATCAATGGAGATTTTAGTTTTATCTCTACTAGATAATGAGTAACACCTAGGAAAATCAAACTGAAATTTTAGACTGGGCTAATGACTGATTTTTTTTCTCAGTTTGCCAGAGCGCCTGCAAGAGGGGATGCCAGTATTGATTTAGTCTTTTCAAATAATGAAGGTAGAATAAAGACAACAGTGTTAAGAGAACCATTAGGGAACTGCAATCATAACATGGCATGCTTTGAAGTGTACTTTGAAACAGTACAGAGTCCAAAACAAAGGCTGACAATTTCAGGAAAATAGTGTACTGTATGTTGGGAAGGGACTCAGTTTAGGATGGATGAAATGAAATAGAATAGATATGATATTCAGATATGCACAATCCTCAAGAACATAGGGCTTCTTCAAAACCAACAGTGAAACTCAAAACAAAACCAAACAGTCAAGTCGGAAGTACAGGGAAGTGCATTTAGAGCTCAAGACCAGGACACACTTATTAACAACTAGTTCACACACAAAGCATTCTGGGAGACTAGCACACGCTAACAAGCCATGCTGTTGAAACTGTCGCCCTGGTTTCCTTCGAGAATTGAGACGCGTAGCTATTTGCAACCAACCAAACAAACTAGATGAACTGAATGGTCTCCTGTAATTTGCCCCTGTGCCCAGAAGTGAAGGTATTATGCAGTGTTTCTTCTTGTGCTTCTGTGTCAGGAGACCACAAAAGACTTGATGGGACTCATTAATGCAGATAATATGTGAAGCATCACATCACATGATATCTAGAATGTAACTTAGAATGTATGCAGAATGGTCTGGTTCCTACCTAGATATTAATGTTCTAATAAACTTCGCTTTGCTCGATGGCTTTCTGAGACTAATAACTCAAATATTGTATTAGGAGTAAGTGTTTTAACATTATCGCCCATGGATAATCCAATATGTGTCCTGGAAAAGTGTTGAAAATATCTTACCTACTCCATAGCTGTTGGTAGTATTGAACTTTATTATCACTGTTAACCATGAACCATGAGCTGTGATAATGTATGTTGTGACCTCTCTTATAGATTTTGTTTTATTTAACAATAATTTAACAGTCCAACATTAAATCATAGTATTGATAAGGATATTCTATTATAATCTGAACATTTGAGTATACATTATAATGCAGACATACCAAAATCAATGTTTCTGAATGTGAACCATTGTAGGTTCATTTGGATAAGGTGGCCTGCATTGCAAGCAAAAGAATGCATTTATATTTACTGGTAATTCAATTTAATTCAATTTATGTTTATACAGCGCCTTTCACAACAAGTTTGTCCCAAGGCGCTTAACAGTGCAACCATACATGTTGTGAATACAGAGTAATAATAAAAAGGTAAAGAAAAGTGTTAAAAGTAAATACATTAGATGTAATTAATTTGAATTGGTGCTGTTGATTAGACAAATGAAAAACAATTACTTTAATCACATATTATTTCAGAGATATTGACCGCCACCAGTCTTGGTAACCTATGAAGGAAGGCATGCAAGAAAACTAATGGAATAGTTATGTGGATTTGCTTAAATAAAAAAAAAATCTAATAATCGTGGCCATAATATTCACTTGTATGTGTGAATTGTCTGTTTCTCAGGCACATCGTGTTATTTCAAGCTAGAAAATCAATGCACTGGGCTACCTGGGTATTTAAAGAGAAATATAACTCCCACAAGAAATAGAAACAAATTGCAGTTGAGGCTAAAAATAATTCATATTGGGTTTTTTTTACATTGCTGTAACAGTGAAAGAAATGTAGAATCTGAAATCGAAGATGAAATTAACACTAGAAGATGAAAGTAGAAAGCACACTAAATATTTAATGTATATTATTACAACAGAAAATGTCAATAATGTGCCCCAGGTTATAGAATAAGCTCAACCAGCATTGAGTAATTACAGAATTATTGACTCTGGGTTATTACAGCTAGTGTGATATCTTTAAACTAATATATAGCCAAGGCCTGGTGGTATTTTCCTAGTTGTACTTAAGGAAATTAGGGATGTTATTCATAGACTTTTAACTAGAATATTTCAGTTTAGAATATTCAGATTGGAAAGGACAAATGAATCCCGGAAACTGTGTGTTGATACTGTTTATTTGGAAAAGAATTGAGGTTTTTGCTTCTTAAAGTGTGTGTGTGAGAGGGAGTAACAAGCGTACAAATGTCATTCAGGAGTTGGAATGAAACTTAGAGCGAAAATAAGTTTCAAATGTTTTTCTTTTCTTTTGCAGATCGGTACTGTCAACAGCCAATGGAAGAAACCAATGAAATGTGGAAACAAGACCTGAATGGGTTCTCCCATTTTGTTTTTTGGTTAAAAGAAAACTTTAGGTGGCATGATTTCTTTATTACCTGCTGTGTACCTACACCCGTGCTTTATGAAGTTTGCCGTCAAATTCCAGTGTGTGTAATTCCAGTACACCTTAAAATTCTAATTGGCTGGTTGTATAGTTTGCTTCCTTTTTAAAGGAATGTACAGCTTCACAGCTTCACTGAAAAAAGATGTCATAGTGTATATCAACATGCCTTTTTGTTAAGTCCACTTTTTATGAGCAAGTGCATTAATGTAGTAAAAAGTAATCAGTAATGCTTTTACATGAACCCACCCACTGTGACTAAAAAGCATTACATTTGCCATTTTTTCTTTTTGTAAAGACCTCATACTGGTCATGTTGGGCTTAATAAATATTTCTGAACGCACTGTACAATAAGATCAAGGCAATAATAATTTATTTTGTATTTCAATAGAATTTTAGGAGTTAGTTCTTTGGGAAAACAGCAGCCATGATGAAATCTGTCTGTCATCCATGGGTGTAATAGACCCTTTAGAAGTAATATGATGTTCTCAAACAGTGGTATTTGTTTAAATATAAAATAAAATAAAATTGTAGCACTTGGGTTTCTATTTGCAATATTTGTAAAATTTTGCTTTCAGTGTGTTCCATATATATGCACATTTGATGTGTGTATATGTATACAGGTTTATGGCAATATCAAAGCTTTAATGTATTGTACACGGATATGATTACATTTAGAATTGTGGTGTTTCTATAGGCAGAGAAAGATCATTTCCTTCTTTTTTCTCTGACACCTAATCAGACAGGAATCATTAAAGCATCAGTTCACCATCAATTCAGGAGAGGAACACCTGCTGTGTGCACACAAGAACAGAGCCTGACTTCATCTGACTCTAGCTTCACTCGAGTGGCTCCATATCTAAATTCACCATTTCCATTTACCCATCTGCACTAGCAATCGCGTTGTTGCACAGAAAATTTAAAACAAGTAACTGAGAGGGCCATCTCATCTGAAGAAGAAAATGTCATTTTTTTGGTCTGTGCTATGACGGAGGTAAGCTTTTATATTTTCAGCATTTTTCTTAACATATATTGCGGTCAGAAAACAAAGGCTGATCAAATGTTATAAATCTTCCTGTAGTTAGCAGTTAAGCCCATCTGAATCAATATATTATATTGCTTGTAAATTTAAAATTGCCAGTACTAACAGAAAAAGGGAAAATTTATCCAAGTCTGTTGTCAGTTTAACTAAAATTAAGCAACTGTACTGAAAGAGGAAGATAAAAATGTTATCGTCCAAATAGCTCATTTTAATTAATATATAGGATCTCTGATACTTATACATTTCAAAGTGATCCGTCTTTCAATTTTTATCAGAAGCATTTTTAGAAGTGATACATACTGTAACCTCAATCCTCTCCTCTTCTAAAGAGAGAAGTACTTTTGACACTGGTTTTCTTCTGCCTAATACCTGCCCATCTGGGTCTGACTCGCGGCTCTTATTTCACATTGAGAAGAGAACAGGCCTGACCCCAAACAGGATGACCACTCAGATTGTCGCCAAGCTCAGACATACAGTAGCTAAGAGTGAGAAGAAATGCACGCATGTGCACCTGGAAGTAAAAGACACATTGACCTGGCTGTAATGTTGCACTTTTACATGCAATTACTGTCAAATGGAAACTAGATAGAATTGTTTTTACAGAGTGAGATGCAAAATGTTCTGTAAGACACAAGACATTGAGCAGCTTATAGAAGTTCTCTCCCCGTGCATTTCTGACCAGACTAGTAACCTGTAGTGCCATTTCTCTCGCTCCAATTCCTCAGTGTTTGGCAGCTGCCCGGCTCCTTGCAACAGCTCAGTCATGTCGTCACAGAAGTTGCTTTACTGTGTTTTCAGTACCACAAATTCATCATGCATTTATCCAGCAAGACCTAACTGCTGCTCCAATAAAATAGGCTGCTTGTTTGTGCAGTCCTACAGCTAAGTAGACATCTTCCTTCTCTCTTAAATCAAGGACCATTGCATTTGTATTTAAATTTAATACAACACTTCCCTTAACTACACTATTGTGTCTACAACAGACCTGTAAGAAAAGGTCATCAGTTCTAATTGACCTGTTTTTACTTCCAGAAAATAGCTTCCACCAACTTCTCACAGCAGCATTACTTTTCTAGATGCTGTTTTTTTTTTCTAAAAAATATGGAAATGCTTAATGCCGTGTTAGTGCACCCAGCAGTGTCACGAATCAGACTCTGCTCTGGGGCGTCTTTGCACAGATGCATTGTGACCCAGGACAGCTTCGGTCACGCCAGGTCAACTGCACTTCTTCAGAAAGCAGTGTGAAACGGCCCGCTGGCTTGCGTGACACCAGGTCGTGACCCAGGTAGGAGCTCAGGGGAGCTCATCCTGGGCAGAGAACGCCAGTGTGAAAAGAGCTTTAGTCATGGAGTTTACTCTCCAGGAACTCTCGGCATGACCAGACTCTCAGAGCCAGACGCCCAGATCCACACAACACACATTCACACTCCCATCTCTTCCACAGGGGGGGAAATGCCTGTAATATACAGATATAGATATCTATGCTGAAATTAACTTGCAGGGGGGTTTGGTCTTCTTTTAAATTGAAAAATAAAAATGGTTATAATCATGCCACGTATGTGAAAACACTTTTTTTCAGTAGGTGGAACCTTTGGGCTTTATTTGTGGGCACAATTGTCTTATTATCATCATCAGTAGTAGTAACAATCATATCTAATGATTCTTATTATTTTAATACATAATTGATGTATTATAATAGTGATGATAATAATGACAAGGACAAATAAAGCTAGAGAATCTTATTTTCTCCATTACAAATGCACTTTCGAATATGTTTAACATTCCAGTTTAAGAGTAGGTTACTTTGTGCCTCGGTTCTCTTTACTCAATCTTATTGTTGTGTGCACAAAATGATAATGTGTGATACTTTCAGGAAAGATATTTGAAACAGTTTGATATTTTGTAGTGCAGAATATACCAAATACTTGAACTAATTTCATAGCATTTTAATGGCATTCCATTCTTGCATATATTTAATCAAACATAGGAAAGAAGCCTGTAACTGTTTAATTGACACAATATGAAGCTGTGTTAATAAGGGAAACAGCTTTAAGATGGGCCTAGGCTCTAAGGTTTTAAAGCAATTTCTGGCAGTATTAGCAGCTGAATAATTATTTGATATATTAGCATGCTTTTTAAGTGTGTTGTATCTCATTCTGGTTATATTTGGTAGCAGCTAGACTGCCTGCGAGCACAGAATTGTTTTTTCAATGGCTCCTGCGTTGATTCACTGAGCACTAATGCGACTATGATTCTTTTGAACTTGAATGTTTCCAAATGTTTCCCTTTGTGAGGAATGTGTGATGAAGGAAAAACAAAAAAGGGAGTTTGATTGCACATTAGCACTCTGACAGTTATAATGATACCATCAATTATCATGTAATTAATGACCATTGCTTAATCTCAGCATAGGACAATGTAGAAAATAAGCAAGTTAAAAGAAACCATTTTAAAAACATCACTCCTGTGATTCCCGGGTTTATTATATTGGACACATGTAATGGAATGTGCAGTCAGTAATATGTTATTCTTGTATACTTATGTTCATCTGTGAATATTTAATCATTTTGTAACCTTTGTTATAAACTGTTTAGGCTGTATATTGTCAGGAGAAAGCCTCATAAAAGTGTAATAGTGAAGCTTAAAATACATTGCATTTGGAGTCATGAATGTCCCCCAGCTCTCTAAAACAGGAGAGAGAATTCAAATATATTTTTGACCTTGTTAATTAAAATAGACCTGAACACTGGGAAAGGCATTTTTCATACACATGCTTCCCTGCTGTGCTGAACACTGAACCTGCCATTTAAAGTAATATTTAACAAAAAAATCACTTGCATTGTTCCTTTTTTTGTATGATGCACTGAAAATGAATGTTTGACAAGCAGAACATAAGTATAAATGCAGTGCAAAATTCAGTCACTTTATAAACTCCCTAGAGCTTAGTATGATAGAATCAATGTTGCATTATTTGTTACAACCAATATGTAATGTTATTATGAAGATGTAATGTCCTTCTGTAACTGTTGTTTATTGTTACCTGAAATAAAGTTTATTAATTCCTCAGACCATTTCAAACCAGACTTTATTGCTCATGTTCTCATTTTATTTAGGTCCTCCGTGCTCTAAATGAAGTACACCTCTATTAACTGATAAACAAGGTAGTAATTTTACATACAAGAAAAAGCCCTTTTAGAGTATGTATTTAATTCATAGATACTGTGCTTCAGGGGAATGACTGTTGCCAAAATCATTTATATTTTCTCAGGGGGATAATTAAACTGTGACTGCCTGGTTTAAGTTGACAAAAAATGGAAAAATAACTGCAAGCATAAACCCTTCTTACTAACAAAATAAAAAATACTTGAACCAAAATGAGAACCTAATTCCTAAGCTGCCACACTGCTGTCAGAATACGAATGTTTATTTATCGGCAGGTGACAAGAACGTGAACAGAAGAAAATGAGAAAGGTTACAAACACGAGTAGGCCTTTTAGCTCACCAATTACCAATCCGATTGCTAGTAGTTAATAAAAAAAAACAATAAAAAATCATCATAACTGGGGACCAGAGGATGTTTCAGCTCTGTGTAATTGATTTGAGCTTTTCACAGACGGCTCACTACCAGACAGGCTCCTGAAAAATATTGTCTCATTTATATTCTTTCTAGGGTCTCTTGCTCCACACAACAGGAACCAGAGGAACAGGGAAGTCTTCAGCCACAGCTCCCTTCCCCCAGTGCCCGATGTCTTGTTAGTTCTGGAGCCCTGATCACCGGCCAGCTGTGAGCCTGTCACTTCAAAATCTGCTTTAATTTCACACTTCTCCCCATCCTCCATTAATCCATCTGGGGAGAGCTACCCCCTCAAGACTGAATATGGCTTTATTTCCAGACTTCATCACAGCCCTTCCTGACAAACGGGGCATAATATTCATGAGCAGGACGTCGCACTGGAAAATAAAAACTTGAGGTCTACTAAAAATGCTGCAGTGTACCCTTCACCAGGCAAACAAATACAGTAAGAACATTTAGAAAGAAAATACTTAGGATTTTGTACTCATAATTTGTTTACAAAAGTAATAAGTACTTAGTTACAGATAGGTTTCCAATGAAATTAAACAATTAGTGTATCATTAGATTTAGATGTCTCCTTCATAGGAAGTAATACATGCAGTTAGCAGTACATGTATGGAAAAATAAAAAACTGAGCACAATAAAAAGTAAATACCATATACTGTAGATAAACCTAAAGGATACTATACTGAGGACCACACAGCGTCAGTGTAAGGGATACAAACGATCAGTAAAACAGTATTCTGGAGAAACTCTAAATTATTGATATGTTCCTGTTGAAAGGCTGTCAGAAATTAATTCAATGGATTCCCACTTTCTCATTTTTAGAGACCAGTGTGAACTGAAAAAGAAAGATTTTGCAATACAATATGTAATGATCTTGATATATCCTGTGCAGCAAAAGATGCTGAAATTGTGACATTCTGCCATTTTTCTTTTCAGTGCTAATCCACAATCCCTATACTACAACTATAGTATGTCATTTGTAAGTAATGTCATTCATGTACTGTATCAATCAAGTAAATGTCATTCTTGCTGTTTGAGGACCAGACATTCAGTAAAAGTCAGAAATTCAATCCAGGTATATCTGTTATATCTACCCCTGGCAGTAAAGATCACACTGAATGAAGACTTTGTTGACATAATCAGAATCTGAGTCTGATACTGGACAACGGCATTCCATGCTTTGATGATTTCACATTCAGGTTGCAGTAAGGTTTGGCCTTACTTACTCTGTAGAAAGCATAAACCTGACCATTAATGATGCTTTAGACATGCATGGTGATATTTAAATGTAGATTTAACAGAGAAAAGAGCATTCATGAACTGAATATGATTCCAGCAGGTGTGCTGGTCAGCTCATTGACATTAAGCTTGGATGTGTCTGGATTGAAGACATGATCACTGAACAGGGTGACAAGCATGGATTCTGCTTTTACTTAAATGCCTCACAACAGTACCATCACTAATCCTGATTGTCCCTCCGCACCCCCCAGGGGTGTTTCTGCAGTTTGCTAATATTACAGACTGATAAATCTTACTTGCACTGCATGTAAGATTATTGAAACTATAATCACAACTCAAATCAGCTTGGATGTAGAAAGGTTAAGACCAAGAGAAAAAAGGCACAAAACATCCTGGGAACATTCAGGGTCCAAACACTAGCCCTGACAGAATATGTCCTTATGTTCTGACTCAGATAAATCCCAGCATCTCCAAATGACAGAAACTAATGGAGTAAACATCTTATCCATTAAAGTATGCCTATCAATCTGCCTCCCGAAAATCAACATAACACTGATCCTACCAAAAGAGAGCATTTCAAGAGTGCATTAGTTAGAGCCTCTCAGCTCTCAATCGAGAACTGGAATGTTCACACCACATAGAAAAACCTCAGGATACAAACCACCTGCAATGTCTGCAAAAAGACACTTGGATTTTATACCAGGAAACACCAGACTTGGTCTGACACACATGACTAGATAATCAATGAATGTGTCGATCACAAGCACAGGGATTTCTGTATATGGCAGAGCAACTAAACTCCAAGCAAAAGAAGTCACCCCAAAGGTTCGGGGCAGAATTTGTGGTGGACAGATACAGTAATGCAAAGGGATTTCAACAAATTATCGTGCAGACACAAATAATATCCATGCTTTCCTAAATTGCGACAAAGGTTGTGTAAGGTCTGATTAACAGAGGTCCAGATCCAAGAGAGATTTGCTCAGGAAAAGGGAAGGAGTCAATGCTCATTAGAAGGATCATTTGTAAGACTCATTCATTCAAAATCCACAGTCAACAAAAGTGTGTTCAACTCCATTCCAATTAAAGATGAGCCTGTACCTCCACCAACACTTTAGGAGGTGATACAAACTATCATGCAGATGAAGAACAACATAGCATCAGTAGGTGTTGGAATTCTAAACACAAACTCCATGCAATAACCCTCCAACTCCACGCCCTCATCATACAGATTTGGAACAAAGATGTGAGCCTGAATGACTCCAAGGATGCCATAATTGTGACAATCTTCAAGAAAGGGGAAAAATACAACTGTGGAAATTACAGTGGGATCTTTCTGCTGTCTGTCACAGGCAAGATCATTACGTGAAGCCTCCTGTTCTGGAAGGACCAAAATCCTCCATCAGCAAACTTCCAATTTCACACACACAAATTCACAATGAGCATGTTTGGAGAATGCAGAGCTAACCCCATACTTAAGGAGATATCTGTCACTGCATATACACAGGGGACAATTAAAAGGACTGAAGTCGTGTCATCAACACTGTGAAAGATTTTACACATCACAGATTACCCAGGACAGATGCACCAACCTCAGCTTTCCCAAGCAGACACATAGGTATTGATCAATGATCATCTACCATCCGTTCCAGCTGTGTTTTGATGACAGGGTCTAACCTCCCAAAGAATGTCCTCTTCTCCCTCCGATCCACGATTAACAGACCAGAGGACAGAAAAGCTTCAAAGATATGGTGAAAGCAAACATGAAAATACGCAACATCGATATGAACTCCAGGGAGATTATGGCTCTTTACCGAACCAGATGGAGGAATAATAATCTAGAAAGAAATTTAGCAATTTGAGACCCAGTTTGCCAAAGAATGCTTTATGAATTTTAATGCAGCTAACAAAATAACAACAGTAAGATAGACAATAGATACAGTATCTTCCGAAACTGTTAACTCCTCCTGAACTGGTTTTCTCAGTCACCTTTAGGTTCATACGAGAGAATCATCCTGAACCACAAGGGACAACCAATGAATGTTGAAAACGTACAGTATGCTTTCTTTTCTGGAGTGTACTTAAACAGTAAATTCTCTTCTGGTTGGGTACACTCTACTCTGGTATAATTTTAAACACAAAATTCAAGCGAAAGCCAAATGCCTTATCTTGCACACTTCTGCACTCTCCTGTGCATACCCTTATATAGGAACAAGGAATAGGGTTATTCCAGGCTGAAAAGAGAAGAGCGAAAAACACAACGTTTCGGCCATGGAGCCTGTATACATGTATATACTGCCTGCTTGGCACTTCCTTTGCACTCTTCCCACATTTTGTGGCATTTTGTTCTTATCAGCAACAGATACTTCTTGCACTCTGTGTCTCTTGACCTTACCTTTCATGTCTTCAATGTTCCTGCGTATCTCGTAACCTGCTCTTTCTGCAGTCTCCACACCCTCTCTCTGCTCTGTTTCTGGTCAAACGGCCAAGACATTGTACCTTCAGACCCACACTTGCCCCTTCCCCTTCCCAGTCCTCCTTTCTGCTGTCCCAGTTGGAGCTCCTCCACTGGGTTCAAGCACACAGAGCCCATCAACATCTGGGCCTCCTCCTTCACAGCAGTGATACAGCCAACCCCCCAGTACAGCATTCAATCCTTGCCTCTTTTCATAGACTTTTAATACATTTGCAAACATACAAACTTTTACATATTGTCTCTTCATTGCATTAATTAGGATTTGGCTGAACTACTGAAATGGTATTTTAAAATAGAAATTTAATCTTGCCCACTTTTGCTCGATTACTTTAAACATTGCAATTTACTATTACGAAATATTCATTGTAACACATATATGTTTAAATGCATTTATCATATATGCTATATAGTAACTGCGAGTGAATAAGTGACAGTACTTCTGTCGCCATTGTGAACCTTACAGAGATACTACAAATACTGCAAATTGTGCAAGGTTGTGGTACTCGTATTTCCTGAAAGGACTGTGTCAAAAAAATGCAAAATGCAAAATTTATAACGAAGACAAAAAACAGAGAAACATAAAAACCAATTTCTATAATTGCTCTGAAGAAACCCCGCTGAAAGCAAAGTAAAAATATTATTTGCTTATTTGTATAAACCCTGAAGTTAAACTGCATTTATTTAAATATGGAAATAAGAAACAATGAACATTTACATTTTCACACAGTTTTAAAATTGCATTTCACAGAGAATTTCATGATAAAAACACCATCCTCACAACAAAAATAATGCTAAAAAGAAAATTTGAACATACAGAAGACTCCAATCATTTTTTAGGTGATATCAGTTTTCTCAAAATGTTTTTACTCATCCTGGTTTAATTTGCTCTATTTTGAAACTACTGTGAGTTTGTCTGTATTTTTATTCAACTGAACTTGAAGAGATCATGCCACAATCTGCAGTGGTCAGCAATTGCTGCATCCTGGGGTGTTCTCTGTGTGGAGTTTGTATGTTCTCCCTGTGCTCATGTGAGGTTTCAATGGCTTCTCTGGTTTCCTCCCACAGACCAAAATTAGGTCAAGTGGCCTCTGGGAAAATAGGCCTCGGTGCGAGTGTGCGTGTCTGTGTCTGTGTGTGTCCTGTGCAGGACTGGCGTTCCATCCAGCATGTACCCAACCCACTGCTTACCAGGATAGACTCTGGCTCCCTTGAGACCCAGTATTTGATAAAGGAGTTTCAAAGATGGACGGATGGATGGTCAGATAACAAAGGATTTCTTTCAGATACTGTAGCATGCATGTAGGATACATGTTTGTATGTTTGTATGTATGTTTGTATCCCTCATGTCCTAAGGTGAGAACTGGCCTCCCCCATCTTTTTTTCCCCCACAAAGAAACATAATAATAATACAAGCTTTAAATCATGAAGTGGAAACATTTCTGATATAAATAACTCTACTCACAGTAGAACAGTGTAGCATTGTGGGTAAGTCTCCAGCCTCACGGGGGGGGGCTGTGGGTTCGAGTCACTGTAGTATACCGTACACGGCTGTTGTCCTGAATAGTCCAGTCCACGCAGCTTCTTGAACAGAGACTGCAGTCTGCTGATGGTGGGGTCTGTGATGGACTGGTGTCCCATCTAGGAGAAGAGTCGCACCTGGAAACCAAGATACCTCCTGGTCTGATCGGCTGCTCGTGTGAGCCAGTGGAACTACCCGCCTACAAGACCACGTTCCACAGTAAAACTCTTTCGAGCGCTCCAACACGAGTCACGTGAAAATAATGTTTTGTTTTGAATGCTGGCAGTTATATGTATGAGTCTGAAATTAACATTAACGAGGGGAAAATAATCCTTTGTTTGCTTGGTGCAGTGGCCGTGTCTGAGGTCTGGCACCCACAACACACACATCCAGTTTGTGACTTGTGAATCAGTCCCATCAGTCAGAACTGTGTCCTCTGCCTAACAGTACTTTCCTAAATAGTGTGTACAGCTATTACAGTAAAATAAATCCTTCCTGGTGAAAGATATTAATCTCATAAGAGCACAAATATGTTCTTAAAACAGAACTGTTCTCCTTAGAACTGTTTTCTTTCGTTTAAGAAGTTTTATGCATAGATTGGTTGGCACTGGTTATGAAAGATTTTAAGCGATAAGCTTCAGAAAGCATAACTACTTTCCTAACTGCTGCGCTTTATTTGCTCCTACTGTATACTTAACTTCTAGCCAGGCTCACAAACAAGTATTGCCTAAAAATAAACTCTAAACACAAGTTGCTACATTCCAAACCAGCTGATCCGCCAACAATTCACCACACCATAGAGTTGGAGCCCGGACGCTTTCTCTCAGTCTGTCTCGATACAACCAGCAAATCCCAGAGGGGTTCACTGCTAAAATATGGAAAGTAAAGAAAAAGCACGAAGTAATTTAGATTAGTCGGGTGTGGTTTCGTTTGCCTAGTTCATCGCACGTTAACAAAATTTTGATAAACTCAAAATGCGGTTTTGCCCATAAAACTTTTACCTCGATGGATTTGGCTTCATTTTGAGTTCTTCTCTCCTTGTGGTAAAAAAATATCATTTTTTTTTCCTGAATCCTGTTTCCAATTACAGAACAAAGAGAAATACGTGGTTCAGGAGCCATCGTGGGCTGTGTTTAAGACTGCAGTAATGACTGCTTTTACATTAAGTTGCCAGTCTGCGGGGTGGCGATGGGGTAGTCTTATTCAACATGACGAGAGACGGTTTAATCGCTTCCTCTACAGTGTCAAGTACAGTATATTAACACACACACTATTTGTCTCACGGCAGAGCAAAATTTCTTAGATCTACAGTGTTGATTAAACACAATAATGAAAATGCGAGTTAGCAATTGTGCAGACAAAAGAGGAAATGGCCGCGCAAAAGAATGAATGAAATATCTGGTTTAAAATTAGCCTTTGTTTACGTTCAGTTACTTCTAAATAAAAAAAAATACATTGCACAAAAGCTAACTGCATTGCAAGGTCTCAGGGAAAGCACTCACGAGTTCTGCAAGAGCCTACTCCCTCTGTTAAACACCAACTTCAATGATTCTCCAGAGTACCGTGACGTTAAAGGGTACATATTATTTAAAATATCCATTTGCACACATTGATCCAGCAGTACAATTCCGTACTTACCACAGGGTAAATAATGCATTTCGTAACATTAAAAGTGGAATAAGAAGATTGCATAATCTCCTCGTCTTATTTTCATAAGCCACGAACTAATTGTGACCAGTGTGAGTATGAATTAATGGGGACTAACTCAACTTTATTTCACTTATCTGCCACGTGTTAAACTGAAGTCTCCCCACACGAACTAATGGACAGGATCGATTCCGCCGCGTATCTGTGAACCGAGAAGTTATGTTTTAAAGCACAAGGAAGAAGAAACAAATGTTCTACCCCAGCAGCAAAGAGGTAATAATTATTTCTTTAATGCAAATGCCAAGACAGAGAGAATTAGTCATGTGTCAATGGTAATCAGAAGGTATGTGCATATGTGGTCAACAACCAAAACGCGACACAACACCTCAGACAAAGAATCTCTTTTAACTCGGCTGGTTTTTTTGGGGGTGAAAAATCACAAAACTTCTCTTAGCTGAAAAGTGATAGCAGTGCGATCTTTCCAATCGCAGCACTCCTGCATCAACGCACACAGCAGTTTCAGCCAATGGACACACCTCGTGGCCAATAGGAAAGCAATTGGCCTTAATTTGTTAAGGGGTCATCACTATTTGACTTTTTGTCTTAGAAATGTCTCACTTTGACCTCTGATTAAAGAAATATCCAACCATCTCAAAGGGACCTTTAAAAAGTAACACTTACATTTCTCCAATAATGAAAATAAGCAACCTTAGTTTTTCAGTCGATTTATATTTTATTCAATTGTTAACTTTATTTTAACAAGTATTGTTAATTATTGGTTTAATTGTTCAATTTATTTTATTCAATTGTAAACATTTAACCTTTTAGTTAATTTTAGCATTTTAAATTATCAAGACGTTCGAAGCACGTCAATTTTATTATGAAATATTAATTAATTCTATATTGCTTTAAAGTTTACATTGTATTTATCAGTTATTTAAACCATTTTGTTGTTTCTGAATACAATCTAACTGAATCCTTTCTCTTTAAAAATGGAGTCTACGTTGCAGGTAGTTTGTATCCAAAGGATCGTGTGGGTTTTCATAAATCGTGATTAACACTGCTAGTGGACTACCTAGTTTTCCTTTTAAGTCAACTAAGCTTGTGTTAGTGGTCATCAGGTAATCGATGAAACCACCCCTGAGTTTATTACTGCTACAATACATAAATTGTATCTGGGACAGTCCTTTTACTAAAGCTGAAGTACACTGAACACATCTGGATTTACTTTCTGGTCCTTGAATGAATTGGGTGGACAACGTTTTGTGTCACCATGTTTCTGACCGGTGAAATATTGTCACCTCCTTTCCCATCTGCTATTAAAACAGAGCTCAACAGTTAGGATTTCAACGTAAAGTTCAAAGACTTTAGCATGATAGACAATGTCTCGGTCTGAGATTGGAGACTTGTTGGCTCTTTTCATCAGATTTAGGATTTGTTTTTGACCACAGGTTTGATGTTTTGTGTGAAAACTGACAAATACTTTGTTTTATGTTCGGGGCTACTGGACTGTATCCGTTCCTGACTGGGGACTGAGTCAGTTCTCCTTGGAGAAACCGTCATGCTAACGCAGTTATTAAAAATGTTTTGTTCTGAAGCAGCGCATCATGGATTTAAAATGATTGTACCACTTGTAGGCCAGAAGTCTACAAAACGTAAACAAAACACACGACTCTCCTACCTTTACCTCCTCAAAATGCAACTAGAAGTGAAGTACATATTTTACTCCATAATTCAAAGTCGCACTGTCAGTTGTTGGATTCGAAAGCTCTTTCACGGCACTGCGGGGTTCCTGGAAACAAACAGCGATGATTTCAAATGACTTTCATCTCACTCCCTGGGGTGGTGGAAATAAGGCGTTACAGTTACAGGGAACACCCTTTAGAAATCAGTGTGAATAGCTTAGTGGTAAATGGCACATCAAGAGTTTAAATTAGTAAACTGATGATAAGACCCCTATAAACACGCACACACATTGCCACCCACACACACAGGCTGCCACATAACACATTTTCCCAAATGAACAAATTAACTGGAATTCGTAAATAGAGAAGAAGCTTTCTGACATTACGCGCGTTGATTACTTCTTCTGGTTTTGAAATACAACTTTATCAAAAGCACGGGGTGAAAATGTGTTAATTCAGTTGATGAGGATTCGTCCATCGAACACCTACCACTTTATAGTCTATATCAAGTGTGGATCTGAGGAATATATATGTGATAATTTTAGTTATTGTCAGTTGAAAATCAAATTCGATAACGATAGCGTGGTTCATTTAAAGCAAGAGGTCTAACTGCACCTAAAACTTAGTGTTATGGGTCAGTGAGCGTATAGTAAATTTGCGACAGGAAACGTTACAAAGGATTACTTAAAAGGGATTCAAATTATCAATGATCATTGAGACGCTGGCCAACAAAATGAACAGAACATCTTGCTCTGTGGATGACATTAGCAATAGGCCTAAAGATAAACTAATCGCTGATAATTGAACAGAGGAACTCTAGAAGTGTATAACATTGTCATGGATAAAAGGGATCGGGGAGAGGTCTAAACTTTTATCCGTGTTTACCTACCAAACTAATTCTTGTTTATAACTAATGCAAAAGGGAAACTGCGTTAATGTAACGCGTTTAACCAATTTTATTTTCCGTTCTATATTTCCAAGAATAAGGGGGCTGGTAATCGTTTCTTCTTAATAAAACAGTACTGTATTGTATCTCGTATGAGCTGTTTTTGGCCGACTTTACATTTCCTTTTTTACGAGGGGCGCAGAATAATTTTTTTTCTCAAAAAAACTTGTAAAATGTACACGGTCCCTAAAGGGTGCCATCTGTTTCAAGGTCCCTCCCTCCTTTCCTTATGCAGGAGAGACAGTGGGGCGCCTGGAAACCGGTCTGAACAGAGCTGAAGGATTGACACAAATGGTCGGACTGCGAGAGGTGCGGGGTGTTGCATCTCTGCTGGTCTGTTTTATTTCAGCTATCTGCACGAAACTGTCGGCTCGCTGGATACTTCAACCCAGGGACCCGGCGAAGGTGCAGCTGTTGTGACTCGGAAAGTTTGCCTTGGGGATATCTGCAACAGGAAAGAGTCAACCAAAGGAGCGGAGAAGTAGTTTTGTTGTAAAGACACGCGAAGAAGAGTATGGCCGGGAGTAATTGCTTCCTAATGGATTTGAGCAGAGTAAGTCGGCTGCTGTTGCCGATGTTTTCTTTTCTGGTGGCGGGACTTTGGGGGGTCAATGGACAGTACGGCGAGAGAGGCATGTCGATCCCAGAGCACGGGTTTTGCCAGACGATCACTATCCCACTTTGTACGGATATCGCCTACAACGAGACCATCATGCCTAATTTACTGGGGCACACGAACCAAGAAGACGCTGGGCTGGAGGTGCACCAGTTCTACCCGCTTGTAAAAGTTCAGTGTTCTCCCGACCTGAAGTTCTTCCTGTGCTCCATGTACGCCCCGGTGTGCACGGTGCTGGAGCAGGCTCTCCCTCCGTGTCGCTCGCTGTGCGAGAGAGCCAGGCAGGGCTGTGAAGCCCTGATGAACAAATTCGGCTTCCAGTGGCCGGACAGCCTGGCGTGCGAATCCTTCCCCGTCCACGGCGCTGGCGAGTTGTGCGTGGGACAGAACATGTCCGACAAGAGCACTCCTATGAACCCCACGCCCGCCGTGACTGAAGAGCCCCCCAACGAGCACCGCCACCCGCCGAAACATTTTACCTGCCCGAAAGCCCTGCAGGTCCCCCCTTATCTGAACTACCACTTCCTGGGGGAAGACGACTGTGGCGCTCCTTGTGAGCCGTTAAAATCTAATGGGATGATGTACTTCAGTCAGGAGGAGCTGAAATTTGCCAGGATCTGGATTGGCATCTGGTCTGTTTTGTGCTGCGCCTCCACGTTGTTTACGGTTCTGACCTATTTAGTGGACATGAAGAGGTTCAGTTACCCGGAGCGCCCCATCATTTTCCTGTCTGGCTGTTACACGATGGTGGCCATTGCCTACATCGCCGGGTTTTTGCTGGAGGACAAGGTGGTTTGTAATGACAAGTTCGACGATAGCTACAGAACTGTAGTCCAGGGCACCAAAAAGGAGGGGTGCACTATCTTGTTCATGATGCTGTACTTCTTCAGCATGGCCAGCTCCATCTGGTGGGTTATCCTGGCCTTGACGTGGTTCTTGGCCGCAGGGATGAAGTGGGGGCATGAGGCCATCGAAGCCAATTCCCAGTATTTTCACCTGGCGGCCTGGGCGGTGCCAGCTATCAAAACCATCACGATCTTGGCGGTGGGGCAGGTGGACGGGGACGTCCTGAGTGGGGTTTGCTTTGTGGGGATCAACAATGTGGATGCCCTGCGCGGATTTGTCCTGGCACCCCTCTTTGTCTACCTTTTCATCGGCACCTCCTTCCTTCTCGCGGGGTTCGTGTCCCTCTTTCGAATCCGGACGATAATGAAGCACGACGGCACCAAGACGGAGAAGCTGGAGAAGCTGATGGTCAGAATAGGCATCTTTAGTGTCCTCTACACTGTCCCTGCCACCATTGTCATTGCCTGCTATTTCTACGAGCAAGCTTTCAGAGAACAGTGGGAGCAAAGCTGGGTCAGTCAGACATGCAAGACCTATGCTATACCCTGCCCTTCATACCATCATCCACAGATGACCCCTGACTTCACAGTTTTCATGATTAAGTATCTCATGACTTTGATTGTGGGCATTACTTCAGGATTCTGGATTTGGTCTGGTAAAACCCTTAATTCCTGGAGGAAATTTTACACGAGGCTGGCAAACAGCAAGCAAGGGGAAACTACAGTGTGAAATCGTTGGGACAGTGTTAACTCCTGCGTGTTTTGTAACGAACTGAAGAATAGCTTTTCTTATCGGGAGATGTGACAGACACTCTTTGATATATTATAAAATTTTGATGTACATAGCTTTTGTGAGATTTTTGTAAGTATATATTTGTATTTAAAAAAAAAAACAAATGTGCTCATTTTTCGATTGTTTTTACATGTACTTTTGAAAAAGAAGAAAGGTACTGGATCATTTTTACAGCATTGGATATATAATTTGCCAGCGGATCTTGGTGTACTTGTGCACAAAGAGCTGAGAGTCCGGTTTCTGCTTCTTGTATCTTTTGATCATTAAATGGGAACTTAAAGTGGATTTAGGGAACCAAGGAATTTAAGAACGGATTTACATCTTCTAAATAGCTTCTTTTTTTTGGGTCCTAATGCCTTCTAAAGCAACATTTTGTCTAAGGCAGTCAGAATCTCAACTTTTTTTTTAGTGAAGCCTCTTTTCACAAACTCCGTGTTTTTGAATATTTTCAGTAGCCTAACAAGAGATCCCTTCTTAAGTCGGTTCAACTTTTGATTCTTTAGTGAAAAATTGTAGCAGCATCTGAAAATCAAATGGATTGCTAAAAAATATTATAACTGTCTGAACCTGTGTAATGTATTAAGTTTGTCTTTTCTGTGTATGGCTTTATGTATGTGTGAGATGAAAGAATGAAACCCTCATTTTTTTTTTAGAAGAAAAATGAAATGCATTTAATGTAAACTGTATACTTCTGGTTTAGTCGTTTAAACCAAAGCTGCTCAATTTTATGAGGAGTATCGTGTTTTAGCAAAATTAAGGAAGCTGGGCTTGAATACACGAACATCAGTGCCTTTATTTTGATTTCATAGCTATTTGGAAATACCTAAAATGGACCTTTGCAGTGCAAGTAGAGGGTTTGCTGGTACAAATTCACAGAAGTATTGTCTGAGGGGGGACTACTAAGGGGACACCTAAAGACCTCAAGAAAAATCAAAAGTTTATACCATTTTGGGTTTTTTTCTGCTAATTAAAAGCAATCATTCTTGCTTGCAAGTAACAGAATCCACTAGTTGAGCTGAGTTAAGTATTATCCTGATCAAAAGGCTATTTTTGTTTTTTCAGCATTTACTCTTTCGGATACAGTCAGATTTAACAGAAATATTTAGATTTAAGTAAGTTGCAAACGATTCCGACACTCTCCAGTTAAAATAATCAAAAGGGTTTCGAAACATTTTGCACCATTTCCGTTTTGAAGATGTCATTCATCATGCCAGCTCTGGAAATCTCAGTCTGCTGGTAGGAAGGATCAAGTCTGGTTTGTTTTTTAGACTTTTCCATAGATGAGATGTTTCAAATACCTCTGAAGCTTTTTTTTTAAAAAAAAATTAGATTGTCTTATTTATTTTGAGTCCTTGCTTTTATTTGAACATTCTTGTGCCGTTTTTCCAATTATGTCCAGATCAATTTTCTTCTGTGGCATGAATTCCAACTCTTTCCAACACCATTACTGGAGTCTTAGTATGGCGTACAGGAGTAGAAAGCACAAATGGAATAGGAAAAGCATAGTCTCGTTACCACCAGCCAAGAAGGCATTAGGACCTAAGGGAGAAACTTTAACTCCCCTTTGTCTTCCCGTGAGCAACTACAAAGAAAAAAAAAAGCCCAGAGTAGATATTTTATTACTCAAGTATTATTTTTTGGAATGACTGACTGAATTTTCAAACCAGGCTGTATGAAATATGATGCAAGGCATGAATGATCAGTTTTGATGTGTTTTCTTTTAAACCTTAATTTGGAGCATTTTGCATCTGCCTCCATGGCACAGACATTTGTCCTTTCCTGTCGAACTCTCTGCTGCATGGTTCTGAGATAAGTCTTTCATATTAAAAACAGATACAGTATGTATTAACTGTTCTTTACCCATGTCCATGGTATTTTTCTCTGGTATGCATTAATTTGTTTTGCTATGAAAGAATCCTTTATATTTATAGAACGATAGAAGGTTTATATATTCCGTATTTTTAATTTCTCTGAAAATAAAAATTCCCACTTTTGTACAAAACTAAACTGAGTCTGTGGCTTAGTATACATCATTCATTGCTGAGATTTAAAGTATTTTCTTATCTGTCCTCTTTATCTTCCTGTATGATGACGCACAGTTCCGTGTAGAGTTGGTTTGCTATAACACTTAAATTAATCGAGCAAAAGCTTTAAAAATTTCACAATACTTGCACTTCTGAATTTTGTCAAATTATTGTGGAATGGAAACAAGCTCCTATTCTTCTAATGAACAGTACTTTTATCATTTACAAAACAAAAAAACTAGACTTGTAAAATGTGCCACAGCAGATCATAATCAAGTGAGCCTAAGGTTAAAGGAATGTTGAAACCCCAAGAAATGTGTGCAAGACAGTAGTCTTGAAATTTATGAATTTTCTCTACTGATTGAAAAAAACCAGAAGGTGCTGATGTCTCTCTGTCTTAATCAAGTGCTAAAGGGGTCTCTAGGTGCAGTTACCTTGAAGTTTTTGATGTTCAAAAACTTTGATGTTTAAAGCAAGCACTACTGCACCAGAAAGTGCAATGATTATGTTTATTTCTTTGGCCAGGTAATCTATAAAAAGTAAATGAAGAAATGCACATTTTTCCTGCTGTTCATATTCACATGTCCAGGTGTGTACAGTTAGCACGGTTGAGATTTACATATGTTGTAATCTGATTAAGAGATAACTTGCAAATGGTTTAATTTCCAGTTGTACTCATCCAACAGTGGCAAATTTCAAGTTTTCTAACCACTCACTTTAAATATGGCTTGCAGAGTTGCATAACAATTGGGGAAAAAAAACTCTTACATGTAAAGAAATGTAATCTGTTAAATTTTTTTTGCATGGGGTGTTTAGTAAATCAGTTATGCAGCAGAATTTGTCCCTTTAATCTTTAAAGAAAGGAATTTCTTTCTCTTGTGAACAGAACATATAGTGTGATGGGACTGGATAAGAGTGAAGTTTTCAGGGTGTTGCCAAAGCTGCATTTTGTAAGCATGACAATGCAGAGTTTATATTTTGAATTCAATTATTATTTTGCTGGAATTCACCTTTTTCAGTTAACTAGGAAATCATCTATTTACAGTGCTTAGATAATTTCAAACTCACTCAGGGCTCCTGGATACACTAGGTTTGTTCAAACGTTTTTATGCTACTGTTGAAGAGTGGTCCATCATTCACTGTTGGTTTTTAGAAAAAAATCCTCTTAGTGATTTTGTAAATAAAGGGAAACGTAAAGGAAAAAGGATCCACCAGTTATGCCGAACAAGCCTGGACAAGCTTTGTATTCAAAGGAAGATTAATACAGCTTTCTGTCTTTCTGTTTTACAGACGTAAATGTTTCAAGAGGCTGCCAGAATCTTCAATGGTATTTAGATTAATACAATATAGACTGAGCTCTGCTTTCCTTGAAGAACAATGTACAGTGTTTGTAATACTGCTGCTAGAACAAAATATGACAATAACTGTTTATCTTTTCATAAAAGTGGCATTCTGAGAGCTGTGCCTCCAGACTCAAAACACTGTGCCAGTGTGTTTTCTCTTTGTCTCAAAACACTTTGAATTAGACACCAAGCAGACAACTGAAGAGTGTGGTTTCTGCATTATGCTTCTTCTCATTGTTAGTCACTGTCTTCCAGGTTTGTTGTAATTCAAGGTTTGCCAAAAAGTGTTTATGAACACCAGGCTGAGGAATGTTTGCACACAGCATTCTTGCCCTTTCTGCTGTGCTTCACTACAGCTGTGGAATTTATTGCTTAACAAAGGCTGAAATTAACAGGGGTGGTTGTGGCGACACACTATGGTAAGTTCAATGGGAAAACTACACTAAGCCATCAGCGTACATCTTTTTTATTTTTTTTCCATTTTCAGTTCATTTCAGATTTTATTTTCAGTTTATTTGCCATGGTCCAGTAGAATTTGTAAAGAAGTGGAGAAACAAAACATTTTCTTTAAAAACAAATTAGCAGAACCTTCATTCCACCCTCCACCATTTCAATTGTACTTAATGGCATCGCTGCCAGGATCTTCTTACTGGCAGTGGGAGGATGAAAACTGCACCATTTCCTCCAGCTTGTACATCTTTGGGACAATTGAGGCATTTTCTATGCGGAGAGTGCGAAGATTCCTACAACTGACGCTACTTTTTCTGTAAGAGTGATGCAGTTCTCTCCAACAATTGCAACGTACCAAACAATTCATGGGCTGTAAAATGGAATACGTCAGCTGACTCAAGGCTCCTCAACTCACAGCAGCTGCTTGGGAAATTCAAGTCACATCTGGTTAATGGCATTCACACACATGGGCATTCCTGGACTTTAGAGCTGAACCTAGGAGTTTGTGTGATTCAGCATGCTAGAAGCTTCGTTTTGAGGCCATATAGTGTACTAAATGGAACCGATTGGCTTATGGAATCTTCCAATACAAATCCTGTTCTTTATTAAATCATCTATAAGTACTCCCTCCTACAATATACAATTTTTTTTTCTCAAAATGGCCAATGGCTAACGGAACATTTTAACGTGCAATGCAGTTTATTCCCTATTTTGTATTGTACATTTTAACAGAATGATAAGGTATGGCCATTTTGGCCGAGTATCTACCTCACACAGTGGATTGTTACATTTCTGGGACACTGGCTCTCAGATTTTGATTATGTAAATAAAACATATACCGTGTACTTAAGTTTTCTTTATGATAATAATTAGTTTCACTGGAGCTGAAGTGCTAACTTTCTGTTTTTTAGAATTTGAGTATGGTATTGTTTTATTTTTAATGATTGTACTATCAAAAACTGTATTGCAATGTCACAGGAAAAGCTAAAGAGATTCCAGGAGGCAAGCAGGTTTTGTTGGTCTTCCGTACAAAAAAAGGGGAAAAAGCACAACAGCCTCCCAAACAGGTTAGATAGACATATAATCTAAGATAATTTTATCATTGAAGAATAACAAAAGATTTGAGAACAATGTTTTCAGAACTTGCAGTCTTCAGTTACTTTCTGCTCCACTGGATGATCTGTGAATTAATTCTAGCTCTGTCAGCAAAGTTCCTTACAGGCAATTGGAAGGTAGTCTTGGTATGGGAGGAGTGTTTGCACTGAGTAACAGCAAATTTAGCT